TCTGTTACAAAAACTTATGCAGTTTGACAAAAATAATTTTGTACATTATGTTGTCTGCCCATCTTGAAACAATATTTATGCAAATGCAGACAGTGTAATGCACTTTGAAGACAAAATAAATAGCAAACATTTTGTTTATAGTAAACAACCAAATCATCCTGTCCGACATCATCGACGTCCTTGTGGCGCAATGCTGCTCCAGACTGTACTGTTACCCTCTGGAACAAAGCGTCTCATTCCACATAAATCGTACTATAACAAGCCATAAGAGATTCGTTGATATGTTGTAATTCGTGACCTGATATCACGATCTGGCTTTGTAACGAAGTGTTAACTGAGGTGATCATACGTATACTCCTGGAGTATATGTGGTCGTGTAAACGCATAGTTGATTTGCTCACGTAAGTAAACCAACATCTAGAAAAGGGAAATCAGCAACCTCATTCATCACTGCTATTAATAGCAGTGAAATTTGCATATTGTCTAGAATACTGTCTGGACGCCAAATGCCAAAATGCCTCCAAGCAGGAAGGGCGAAAAATAATCAACTCGCGGCCAATCTTGGACTGATAAAGAGCCGGAGTGTCTCTTGTCTGTCTGGAATGAGAAAAATGTTGAGGAACAGTTCGAGGACCCGAACTCAGGGATATGACAGCGGTCTGTAAATAATGGAGTCTGGACCAGACAATCCAGTGAGGTCCTACCACTACTTCATTCAGTTTCTGACCCGTGAAGATTCGGGGTGTAAAAGGTGACTATGCTTGTGGTAAAAGGCGACTAATGAGATCGGGTGTTCAGGCTCGCTGACTTGGTTGATGCATGTCATCGTATCCCAATTGATGTCCACCACTGGATTGTCTGGTCCATACTCGATAATTTATCGACCACCGTCATAAAGCTGGAATATTGCTGAGTGCGGCGTTAAACAACAAACAAACAAACAAAAAATATTGTGTTCAAAGCCACAGTCATGAATTACAGCCATGGTCACAACAGTCTTGTTCAGCATTGTCCTCGAGGAACGACACGCCTTCAGTGAGTCTTTCACAACGTTTTGCTGTGATATTCCTATGCACTTGTCTAAGCATAATTAGCATTATATTGGCAATGAATAGTCAGAACTTTCGGATGGTAGCCTAAAAGTAGGATGCCTTTGGAGTCTCAGAAAACTGAAGCCATCACATTCGCAGCTGATGGAACAGACTTCGGAGGCACCTTAGTAGTGGCAGTGCCCGATCTTTGAACATCTTAATCTGCCACCCTCTTGCCCAGCTCTTAAAAGTGTCAAAGGAAGGAGCATCATCCCCAAAAGGTGACACCAGGTCCTCTTGGTGGCTTGGAGTTAGCCCTTTCAGTCAGATATACTTGATATTGACAGGGCAGTGGCCAATTTCTTTTTCACTTACAATTTGATGCCTGCCTGGTTGTGTATTTGGTTCAAATGAAGCATGGAATGTATTGGAATTAATACATACAAAATGTTAAAGGTGTACTGTAATCCTTAGTTGCTAGGCTCCGAACGTTTCAGCCACCTCAAGTACTAATGTTAGACACACCCTGTAAATATACGGCAAATATACGGGACAGTACCCTTTCAATAAGAAAGAGACGATTGTACAATTCCAACTATAGCATGAGCATATGTTTAAGAATCAAACACATGTATCCAAACCCTAAATAAGTGTTACAAAATGGTTGAGAATCAATCGTCCAAAGACAACCAAAATGATTTGCTGAGTTATGCACGTGCTACAGTACCCAGATCAGTGAAACCGGAGTTTTAAGTGACAACACAGGTACACAGGTCCGCAATCTTTGAACATTCCGAAAAGTGGTCACAAGTAGTTATATATGTAACAATTATTACTAAAGTTCAAGATAAAAAACACCATAGTCGTGAGTAGTTCAAAATAAGTGTTTAAAACACATAGTATTTCAAAAGAAGTTGACAAATAACACCCCAAACTTAGTTCAATGACAGATGTTTTAATTCCTACCAACCTGTTTCGGATGACCCTGTCATTTCTTGGAATTTTGTGAGAGGTCATTTCTTGGAAATCGAACATGCCATCATTTCTATTGTAGGGGGGACAGGATGTAGAAAAAGGTTTTAAAATGATAAACGTATATATTTCTACAACAAACTTTATGAATTAACATTCTATTATATATTTAACATGGGTAAGTGTTATTATTTAGTTAGCAATTACCCCAGTAAACAATAATAAAATCCAAATAAATGTCTCTCCACCCTGAACTTGGATGTGGCAGAACTTGACCTACATCACGTTAACTCACACCTCACAGCTGTCAATGGCTGACAATCTTGTGTTTACTTTCTCCGTAACTAGTTCAATGATGCAAGATGACAACCCTGATCTGTGATGTGGTTCAACATTAACCTGTAGATCTACAGGGATTGATCGCGCCTGCTATCACAATATGATTACCAATGGAAGTGAGTATGACTGAACAGCCACTTTTTAGGCTGCAGACTAGCCGGATATTTTGAAACGAGGAATCTGCATGGTGTAACCTGTCAATTTCAAGATTTCACGGATCCAAAGCCAGATAATGACAGAACTTAAGACATTTGTGGCCCAGAAATAGTGGGTCGTGTATGATTTTCTGAAGTGACTTAATTGAATTTCATCACGTTTGAGAAGATGTCACTTCAATTGGGACATTGCTTTCATTGACTTTTGAAGGGGAGTGTTTTCTGATGGACTTTCAAATCCCCTCCTGCCAAATTCTAACTGTCTAACGAAGATGGCAATGAATATCGATCACAAAAAAGTTTGTAAACAATATGTTGTCATGAATAAAATGTCTTCAAACACATTTTATTAGGTTATATCTTACTTTCATTGTCGGTTGTTTCAATGACGAAATTACCTGTTCATGGGTTACAGAAAAAGTTAAACAATTATTTTTTTCTCAACATCACTCTTTCACTTATTTTGAATGTGTGAATCTTTTCATTATACCTCCCCACTCTGAACTGAGAACTGTCCTTACGTGTCCCGGTTGTCACACCACTGCACTCTCAGAAATTGTTAACAGTAACAGTGCTGTTAAAGAATTGCAGGAAACCAGAAGACAACCCTGTGCTGTGAGTGTGATGCTGTTCAACATTAACATGTTGACTAACTATCCCTGCTGGTGTGATGTTGCTACCACCCTGGAGAATGGCTGAATACCGCCTTTATTGAGCCGAAGAAGAGTCACAATTATATGACATTCCACGCCAGCATGAGAAAGTAGTGTGATCGTTGTGGCCCTGACACAGTAATTAGTGTATGTTTTGCTCAACATTGCCTCTTCTGAAATTGATTTCATCTGTTGTGGCCAAGTGCCTGTGTGGTGTGTTTGTGAGTTTTCGTGGTCTTTGGAAGTGAGCAGTGTTTTGTGATGTAATTTTGAAACATACTGTTTAAATGAAGCAGCGGGACAGGAAGGGGTACCTATGGCATATACGCTACGGTTTTGTTTTTGTCAACTCACTGTGTGTGGTAGTGATGAACTCGCACACTACGTCGTCGACCTCGGAAAGAATTGCGAGTGAGGTCAAATCCTAATGTCAGATCAAACCAGACCTTCTTTTGAAGGCCAACTGGATCGTCCTCCAAAATAGGCTCATAGTGAGTAGATACATCCAACCCAAGTTTCTTGATTTTACGAAGCATCCCCATAAAGACATTGTTCGCATTGACAAACTCTTGGTCCTGCAGCATGTTAAATAAACGCTCATACCGTGGTTGGCGGAGATGGCGATGGATTGCAGATCAAATGCCGACATAGGAGGACTTCGACAAACCAAGCAACCAAGCAAGACTGAATGATGAACATTGTACATAATATATATAGTGTTGGAGATTAACAGTAACAACAATTGCATACACGAGTGGGATAACATGAGAAAGTTTGTTTGTTTGTTTGTTGTTTAACGCCGCACTCAGCAATATTCCAGCTATATGACGGCGGTCTGTAAATAATCGAGTCTGGACCAGACAATCCAGAGATTGACATCATGAGCATCGATCGACGTAATTGGGATTGATGACATGTACCAACCAAGTCAGCGAGCCTGACCACCCGATCCGGTTAGTCGCCTTTTACGACAAGCATAGTCGCCTTTTAAGGCAAGTATGGGTAGCTGAAGACCTATTTTACCCCGGAATCTTCACGGGTCACATGAGTAAGTGACAACAGAAGGATGATACTGTCACAACATGATGAACAGAGACCACATAGGTGGAAGCCAATGGGACATGAAGCCAATTAAACAGGATAAGTTTGCATAGGTGTGGTCATTATTGAGTTCATAGTAGGCAGATGGGATGAAATAGCCTTGATTGATGACTTGGGGCGGCGAATGTGGACAGCTTCTGTTAGTTTTCGTTTAGTGAAATCATGGAGGTTGGGGGGATTTGGACGTTGTCCCAGTTGATGTTGTGATTGGGACAGTTGCTGATATGGCCCGAGGTAGCTGATTTGCTCTCTGATTTGATGGTTGAGGTTTTGTACTCTTTGATTCTGGTGTTGACGGGGCGGGATGTTTCCCCTACGTAAGATTGTCCACAGTTGCAGTCAATTTTGTAAACTACACCTTTAGGCTCTTAGGGTTTGGTTGTGTTCCTGCCGTTGGCTCTTAGTAGGGTATTGAGGGAGGTGGAACTGGTGAAGAAGGTGTCAGTTCCAACACCTTAACTGGAAGCTGACACCTTTTGTATAGTTTCTGTACTTTTGGCCATAAGTCCTATATTCTGAATAAACATGCCTGTCCCGTCTGTAGAACAGGGGGCGCCACGGATGAGCCAGTCGTCTAAGGCGCCGCGATTCGCTGTGCAGAGTTGCGTCCCTTGGGCACGCCAGACACCTATGATTGTGGGTTCGAATCCCGGTTGCCCCGATTATGTTTCTAGGTTTGTCAGCACCATACCCGTGCTCGTGGGTTTCACCGAAGTGGTAAACGTCTGAGACCTGCATCACTTGCGGTTTTCCTCCCACAGCTGACACGCCGTGATATAACTAATACTGTTAAAAGAAGCGTTAAACCCAACTCACTCACTCCACTGTAGAACATACATAATCAGTAAGGTAGCTGTTCTCTAGTGTGTAAGACTGTTCAGTACTAACACAAACACAGTAATATATGACTGCATGAGCCGAAGGCCGCTAGATGACGTCATATCCTGCATGCCCACGTGGTACTCGGACAATCGGGGACAGTCACAGGAACGAAGAGCAGTCGCAAACCTCATGCGCCTCGCCCCGCCGTCTTCAATAAATTCCTCCAACATTTTGTCACCTAGGTCCCCTTGCAAACATGGATGCTGCTTCACTTCAGCGAGAACATCCGGGCACTCTGGTAGACATTCGCCATATTTGTAGTCGCAGTGTTTCAGAACCTATGGACAAACAGCGCAAATTAGTGAGTGATTTGGTTTAAAAGACACTTTGAAAAGTATTTAAAGTCTTTCAACTTTTTCTGACTGGAAAGCCAAAAAGCCACTCATTCCGCTAAGTAATTTGACGCTTTGCTGAAACCATCGATCGCGTACAAGGTGCTGAATTAGAGAACGGATCATAATCAGGGCACAGCTGGGACATTCATGTCGAGGCTAAGTTATTTCAATAAAACGAACTCTCTCTTCTGTTATTTACTTTACTATCCTTACATCACCCAACACTTTTACTTACAACAAACAAACAGTCACAAGTAAGTATAGTGAGTCAGCATAAATCCTGTAAGGCGCCGAGATTCGCTGTGCAGAGTTGCGTCCCTTGGGCCCGCCGGAAACCTTTGATTGTGGGTTCGAATCACGGTTTGCCCCGATTGTTTCTAGGTTTGTCAGCACCATACCCGTGCTCGTGGGTTTCACCGAAGTGGTAAACGTCTGAGACCTGCATCACTTCGGGCTTTCCTCCCACATTAAGCTGACACGCCGTGATATAACTGTAGTACTGTTAAAAGCAGCGTTAAACCCAACTCACTCACTCGTCTGAGACCTGCATCACTTCGGGCTTTCCTCCAACATTAAGCTGACACGCCGCGAGCCGACCAGTCCTTGTTTAGCCCCTTAATGCCGAGCGTCTTTTGGTATGACGCGGCCGGGAGTCGAACCCCGGACCTTCCGCTCTCCGGGCGGAAGCTCTACCACTAGACCACGGAGGCGGTCACCGCGATATAACTGGAATACTGTTAAAAGCGGCGTTAAACCCAACCCACTCACTATAATACTCGCCATGTCTGTACATGTAATACGTAACATGAGCAGTTATATCAAGAATTAACCTTGTGGTAAATCTTCTGCGTTTCCGGGTGAGATTGGTTCTTGAAATTGGCAACATGACAGCCGCGGTAAAGCCCATCGTGGTCCACCATGCAGGAGTTGTAGTCGCCCCAGCCGTCGCAGTAGACGTTGGAGACGGCAGATTTGGGATAGAACATGAGCAGGGAGTAGCACATCTCGTCATTTGTCCCCTCCCCCCACATCGTCGTCACCCGGCGAGACAGGGTGCGATACACGCAGGTTGTTTTGAAGGCATCCCCAGGGCGAACCTCCAATGGAGGATCAAACCTACAACATTATAATTGGAATATTAAACAAGCTTTATAACCTCATATGACGTCATACTAATGTCCTTCCAATCTGATTCTTGTAGTGTACATACAACATCAGTCTTATTAAAATCCCTAGGTCCCCAGTATGGTGACCTCACTCTAGTTGCTGGTGATATATAGCCCAATTTTATCTGTTGTAATGTTATGAATTGTCATATTCTATGGTTATGTACTAGTTTTAAACATATCTCTGTGATAATCTAGTTGTTTTACTGTCCTTCGTCGACAGAATTTTATACAGTTTACATATATATTATTAAAGAAAATTTTGTCATTATTAAAATCCTGGCGTTAGGAAAGCCTTGTGGTTAAAGCGTTCGGTCGTCACGCCGAAGACCGGGGTTCGATTCCCCACATGGGTACAATGTGTGAAGCCCATTACGGGGGTAATAGGGACCGTTACGGGGGTAATGTATCCCCCGCCGTGATATTGCTGTTTTGTTTTTTGTTAGAAGCAGCGTAAAACCATACTCACTCACTCAGTCAAAGTTTGCTCAGGGTTCACCTGACATGACGCGGTATGGTAGGCGTATCTGATCTTAAGATGCTAAGAGGTATCAATTAAAGTCTTAGATAGGCATCTAGACGTTGGACGACCGTGAATACATGACACATTTTATGGATAGCAATTTTTTTATTCTTTGTCACTGAAAATAAAAGAAGTTGCTGTCCATGAAAGGTGTCATGTACTCAGGTATCAATGTATTTTTAGGGGTACAATATCGGATTTGAACGAGGTTCTTTATTCGTGTGCGTCCATGTGCATAAATGTTAAGTAAAATAAAAATATATATTTCTTTCCATCGAAGCTGTTAACTTAGTTCGATAATAGAAGTAACATTAAAGTAGGTCATAAGGGAATGAGTGAGTTTGATTTTACGCCGCTTTTAACAATATTCCAGCAATATCACGGCGGGGGACACCAGAAATGGGCTTCACACATTGTACCCATGTCGGGACCCGAACCCGGGTCTTCGGCGTGACGAGCGTACGCTTTAACCACTAAGCTCCCCCACCCCCCCTGTGTCTACAGACCCGTGAAGATCCAGGGTAGAATTGGTCTTCAGCAACCCATGCTTGCCGTAAAAGGCGACTAACGGGATCGGGTGGTTGATGCAAGTCATCCATCCCATTTGCGTGGATCGATACTAGACTCGATTATTTACAGACCGCCGTGATATAGCTGGAATATTCTTGAGTATGGCGTTAAACAACAAACCACCACCACCACCACCAACAACAACAAAGCTTTTCAGTACAAGTACTCTGTCTTGCTATCACTCATTCCATAGAAGCAAGACCGGCTCCGTGGTCTAGAGGTAGAGCGTCCGCCCGGAGAGCGGAAGGTTGGGGGTGAGATTCTCGGCCGCGTCATACCAAAAGACTTTAAAAGATGGTATTTGTTGTTACCATATCTGGCTTTTGGCTTTAAGGGGCTAAAACAAGGACTGGTCGGCTCGGAGTCAGTATACTGTGTGCGAGTGGTTTTTAAAAAATATTAAACTGCGGCATGGTATCTCAGTGGGCTAGCACGATAAAATTGGATCAGGTCATTATTTCAAAGGAAAGGGGTTCGAAGTAGATATATGTTCCTATCTGGTGTAAGTTATCGTTGAATATACGTGGGTTTATTAGTCGGTTCAAGACCTCACTCTCGAACCCATCCATCACTTTCATAGAGGAAATTGTTCGCACCTCTGGATAGAATTTTGACGGCAGCGCAATGGAGACGTATTTTGGGGTAATTAATATAGGACTATATAGCGCTATATGTTTTTACATGTTTCGGTAATTGTAACCAATCAGAGATGTAGACGTACATTGTAAATGCTGAAGGCACATTGTCTCGCCTGTTTAACTCGCGCCATGTCACAATACATTGGTATTTTATGATAAGTTTGTTTTTATAAATAGTGGTCGGTATCTTTGTTTTTAACGGGTTCCTAGTCAACATGGTCTCACGTGTTAATGACGGGGTTGTCGTAGGTGTAGAAGGCCTCATTAGTGAGGTACTGTAATCTCTTCCCCTTCCTCAGGTGTTCGACACTCTCAGAGATTCCTGAAATTGAAAACAACATACAAGGCATGGCTACAACATCATTACTATATCAGGGCGGTGGGTAGCCTAGTGGTTAAGGCGTTCGCTCGTCACGACGAAGATTCGGGTTCGATTCCCAACAAGGGTACAATGTCTGAAGCCCATTTCTGGTGTCCCCCGCCGTGATATTGCTGGAACGTTGCTAAAAGCGTAAAACCCAACTCACTCACTCACTCATTACTATATCGATACATCGCAATTGGCCACTAGTTAGTGAGAGAGTATTTTGTTTACGCCGTTTTTAGCAATATTTCAACATTATCACGACGCTGGAGCCAGAAATAGGTTTCACACATTTGGTGGTGGATCGAATCCGGGCGTTCAGCGTGACGGCGAACGCTTTAACCACTAGGCTACCTCACCGCCCAGCAATTGACCATGACCCGATGTCAATGCGTCATGGAAATATAAATAGCAAGAAATGAAAAATAAAGAATACTGTCATTCCCTTGCAGGAACCCCGTGAAGATTCCGGGGTCGAATAGGTCTTCAGCAACCCATGCTTGCCGTAAAAGGTGACTATGCTTGTCGTAAAAGGCGACTAACGGGATCGGGTGGTCAGGCTCGCTGACTTGGTTGATGCATGTCATCGATCCCAATTGCGTGGATCGATGCTCATGATATCAATCACTGGATTGTCTGGTCCAGACTCGATTATTTACAGACCGCCTTCATATAGCTGGAATATTGCTGAGTGCGGCGTTAAACAACAAACCAACCAAACCCTTGCAGGAACCAGTAAAGTAAATATGTACATCTAACACGTGTAATGTAGCTACAACTTCCTGTAGCTTGTGTTTTAACGTATTGTATCTTCAGTAGCAATCTTAACATCCTGCCGTCGCCAAATATAGAGAATAGGAAAGCTATTCATTTTTTAGCTACAAAAGTCAACTACAAAAGAAATGTGAAGGCCGAGACATTAAAACTGATCCCCACTGTGTTGCAAAACAAGCTTATTTCTAAAATATATTTCTTCACTTATAAAGTTTGTTTGTTGTTTAACGCCGCACTCAGCAATATTCCAGCTATATGACGGCGGTCTGTAAATAATCGAGTCTTGACCAGACAATCCATTGATTGACAACATGAGCATCGATCCACGCAATCCAAATCAGCGAGCCTGACCACCCGATCCCGTTAGTCGCCTCTTACAACAAGCATAGTCGCCTTTTACGACAAGCATGGGTTGCTGAAGACCTATTCTACACCGGATCTTCACGGGTCACTTTTAAAGTAGGAGAATCTCTGCACTGATATACACAGCAATCGTAATTTGATTAACATGTTTGTAGTTTCAGCAAAATCAGTAAAGGCGTTATCGTGTCACTGGATATTCTGGTCAATCACCAGATGGTCTGGTTTGTTTACGGGCCGCCGTCGCATGGCAGGAGAACTGCTGAGCGGCGTCAGCAACAAACAAACACTTACATATTAATTTATGCAAAGTGTGTGAGCGGTGGGTGCTACCGTTAGGGCAGGACAAGGTTACCCTTTGGTTTAAGCACATTTTTTCACATAAAGTCAATGGGATTGGGTACAACTTCTCCCTGATGTTAACAGCATTGATTTACAGCTTGTACTAAGCATGAACAGAACAGAAGGAAAAGAATAGGAAAGATAAGTGAACAGTGAGGAAAATATAGCTAACTTAATCTCTCATATAAAAATCTGTACATAGTTGCGGCGGTCGGGTAGCCTAGTGGTTAAAGCGTTCGCTCGTCACGCCGAAGACCCGGGTTCGATTCCTGACATGGGTACACTATGTGAAGCCCATTTCTGGTCTCCCCCGCCGTGATATTGCTGGCATATTGCTAAAAGTGGCGTAAAACCATACTCACTCACTCACTGTACATAGTTACATATTTTTATGATATCTTGTTCTGATAAATCCCAATTTCCGTTGAATATCAAACAGAGCCCAGTTGGTGTATTATCAGCTGTATGTATACTGCTTTTATTTTTAGTGTCTCTTTCTTCATTTTACAAGTCACATTCCAAGAAAACGTTATTGCATTTCAAGTTTACTGACATATAAACATTCTGCTGTCTCTTCAACTCCTCGTCTACATAAATCATAATTCAACTGACTAACCTTATGTCTTTGTTTGGTATGTATCATATTAATGTAGTCTTTGTCCAAAGGAGAAGTACGATCAAGTGGGGGGCACGGGTGGCCCAGTTGTCTGAGGCGCCGCGATTCGCTGTGCAGAGTTGCGTCCCCTGGGCACGCCAGAAACCTATGATTGTGGGTTCGAATCACGGTTCGCCCCGATTATGTTTCAAGGTTTGTAAGCACCATACCCGTGCTCGTGGGTTTCACCAAAGTGGTAAATGTCCGAGACCTGCATCACTTTGGGCTTTCCTCCCACATTAAGCTGACACCCCGTGATATAACTGGAATAATGATAAAAGCGGCATTAAACCCAACTCACTCACATTACGATCGAGTGTCTTAAAATGTTGAACTGCAAGTGCTTTCATTTAAATGTATATCATTCCACAGCTTGAGTAACTTTTCGCGAACACCTGGTGTCATCACTGATTTTCAGTTATCCATTCAGATAATATTTTGCATTTTACGCCCAATGGAATCTGTTTCGGCAGATAATCGAGACTGATTATTCTCTGACGTTGGCGTGTTAAATACATGAACACCACAGAGATCACAAAGCAAGAAAAGCGCACGTAAAATATCAGCGATATTGTTTTTTATTCACCTGTTTACTTTGTTGACTATTTGTAATGCACATTCACCTTGTCCTACCCAAATATATATTAATATATAGATAAAGATATTGATAAATCCTTTAACATAAAGAAAACGGCTATGATGCAGAAATATTTGTTTTTTTCAGGTGAGGTGAGCTGAAATATGGTTTAACTTCGCGTCCAATATTAGTTCACTTATATAGCGACGTGTGTGTGTGTGTGTGTGTGTGTGCTAATCCGGACCTATGACGGTTTTATAGTGCTAGCTCAAAGAGTTACCATGTCGCAGTTTAACATGGATAACCCACTCAGACACAGTATACTGACTCCGAGACAAACATCCCCCTAATGCCGTTAGCCAGGCAGGGTAACAACAAGTACAATCTTTTAACGTCTTTTGGTATGACGCGGCCGAGAACCAATATTCCGTCCTTCCATCCACGGGCAGACGCAGTATCAACTAGACCATAGGGGGGTCGATCGAGAGAGGGCACCACATGGTCGCAGATAGCTGAGAAGAGTTGCGATCTATCGTCCGGGCAAGGATGCTTTGATCGTGGATTTGAATCCAAGATTCATCTTGATTACGCTCCTTGTCAGAAATACCCGTGTTTGTGGCAAACGTGTATCACCTAGTCCTTCGTCACATAGTAACGTTCCACATTTAGCTGAAGCGACCCGTTGCTGAAATGCTCGTATCGTCGTTACAGACACAGCTTTTATGTTTACAATGTTTTTTTTGTGTTTTGTGCTTTTACAACTTCCGGACACTGAATACTTATGTCAGCCGTAAATCTGAAACCACATAACTGCCAGTCATAGAAAGTTTTCAACTCGTTCAAACACTTTGACTTCTTATTTAACTCACATGTTCTGATGAGCCGTGCACTCCGAAATATGTACACACAGGGTAGTGACGTCACGACTTAATGCAAAATGGCTGGTCTTTTCAGGCGTGCGGTGGTTATTATATTGTTGTTACCATGTGGGAAATCTGACTCAGTTTGTTAGTGTAACCAATCAATAGGAATTTGAAAAAAAAATACAACACTTGTTCATTAAATAAAGTCAATACTTGTCAACGACCAATTTTCTCTTCTCAAAAGCCTGACATATTTTACGAGAGCCCCGCTTCTAATGAATACGAAGGAAACGTCTTGAAATGTTCATATCACTTTACTCGTCGAAGAACGGCTCGCACAAAGGTAAATAACACCATATATCCAGAGTGACCTTACCAATTAACCTATCTGCATAATTTTCGCCCGTTTATTTAAACACCTTCATCGGTGTGGTTAGCGCCAGCGAGGGAACTGTTTCTTAACAGCTGGATGGTGTAAACACACGAGAGTTATCGCCCTTTCATTACGATCCCATATGCTCGGTAAAGTTCGCTGTACTGTATCTTATAGGTGTTCGCGATAATAGAATTATACCACAGTATCAGAAGCCAGTATCTAAATGCAAGTAAGACATATTGTATTTAATAATATTGATCAAACAATATACTGAGTGAGCTGTTTCTTCATATTTTCTTGCACAGATAAGGTGAGGTCAAATTGGGTTTAACGTCGCGTCCCAAAATTATTGCACTTACATAGCGACGTTCAGGCACGTGTGTGTATATGGCTCTTGTACTAGACCGGAGTGATGCCGATTTATAGTGCTTGCACATTGAGATACAATGCCGCAGTTTAACATGAATACCCCACTCAGACACAGTATAGTGACTCCGAGCCGACCAGTCCTTGTTTTAGCCCCTTAATGCCGAACGCCAGACAGGGTAACAACAAGTATCATCTTTTAACGTCTTTTGGTATGATGCGGCCGGGGATCGAACCCCTGACCTTCCGCTCTCCTTTTCTTGCACAGAAGACCATCTGTTCCTTGTACTAGTACACATAAACACCGTCAGGATCAACAAATGTATGTATTAGCGAATCACGCGTACGTAGTAATGTCCCTATAATTGTACCTAGATGTTCCTAAAATCTTCCCCGTGAAGATCCGGGTTAGAAATGGTCTTCAGCAAACCCATGCTTGACCCCCGTGAAGAAATATATTCAGCAACCTATGCTTGTCGAAAGAGGAGACTAGGGGGATCGGGAGGTCAGGCTCGCTAACTCGGTTGTAATCGCATCCCAAATGCCTAGATCGTAGATCATATGAATCATTGGATTGTCTTGTCCGGACACGACTATTTACAGGCCGCGGTCGTGTACCTGGAATATTGCTGATTGTAAGTGAGTGAGTTAGGTTTAACGCCGCTTTTAACAGTATTACAGTTATATCGCGGCGTGTCAGCTTAATGTGGGAGGAAAGTCCGAAGTGATGCAGGTCTCAGACGTTTACCACTTCGGTGAAACCCACGAGCACGGATATGGTGCTGACAAACCTAGAAACATAATCGGGGCGAACCGGGATTCGAACCCACAATCATAGGTTTCTGGCGTGCCCAAGGGACGCAACTCTGCACAGCGAATCGCGGTGCCTTGGACGACTGGGCCACCCGTGCCCCCATATTGCTGATTGAGGCGCTAAAACATTGAATATAGCCCCAACAGAAATCGTCCAGATTGCGAGGTTTCCGGACTAAGAAGGTTTCAGAGAACTCCAATTTGAGTGCGTGAGTGAGTATGGTTTTTAAAGCAATATTCCAACAATACGACACCAGAAATGGGCTTCACACATTGTACCCATGTGGGGTATCGAACCCGGGTCTTCGGTGAGACGAGTGAACGCTTTAACCACTAGTGTACCCCACCTCCCCCAGTTGATACATACCCATGTAATGCATATGATTCAGGGAGTTGGTGATGTAGATGGGATTGGAGAAGTAGCGCTTGGTACACTCAGACGGGCATGTGGACTGCACAACTATTTTCGACTCCCCCGGGGGTAGCAACAGACGCTCCTGGCCCGTCCACAGGATCCCCGCATCGTATGGGCGTAGTCGAGGGGTGAAGTAGATCTTTAACCCAGAGGCGTCGTGGTAGTCGCCTCGCATCTCCGGGTTGTTCCAATGTAGCTAAAAAAAATAAAGAATGATGTTAATGTTGATGGAAGATAAAAGATACAAGACACAATATAATAGCAGGATCACGAGGGATACATGGATAATATGCGTCCCGCGTAAGGTTTTATACCAAGAGCCGAACGCAAGTGATATGAAACCTAACGAGGGACCACAAAACCCCATATACCCCGAGTGGTCCTGCTACATTGAATTCATCTTACCGACATATGAAATTGTAAAAGAATTAAAACAAATTAAGAATTGATAACAAACATCTGTTCGATTGAGCTGAGGTTCAATTGTGCTATGTCACGTGACTTTCATTGACTCGGAAGAGACGTGCGGCTTTTTAATTCGAAGCGGGGTATAAAGGATATGTTCTGCCTCTCAGGAATCCACGTGCAGCCTGACTTGCTCGTGGCGGGGTATAAGGGGTGAGGGGGTGAGATTGGCCTTGGGACGGTATCATATTTTTCCGACCCCTCCTCTTTTTGTGTATTATGTTTTCATGTTTCCCTCTTCCTACAACAAATGAGCAGTCCAAAAGAGTGAGTAAGTGAGTTGGGTTTTACGCCGCTTTTAACAGTATTCCAGTTATAACACGGCGTGTCAGTTAATGTGGGAGAAAAGCCCGAAGTGATGCAGGTCTCAGACGTTTACCACTTCGGTGAAACCCACGAGCACGTGTTTGGTGCTGACAAACCTAGAAACATAATCGGGGCGAACAGGGATTCGAACCCACAATCATAGGTTTCTGGCGTGCCAAAGGGACGCAACTCTGCACAGCCAGTCCAAAAGAGCTATTGTTCCGACACACCCTGAGGTGATGACACACATATCTGAAATCAAACTTTTGTTAAACAGAAATGGCACAAGAGTGGGCCAGAAATCTGTAGATTTTGCATATCCATCCCCACGTGTACATCTAATTCTTAAGAGATTCTTGTCAATAGCGCAATCCTATGAAATCCTAGAAGGGACACTGTCGCGTTGTCGCACTTTGGTTAATTTTGACACTTGTTTTTGTTAAGGGCGACAACGCGACAATTCGACAAAGTCCCATCTAGGATTCCATAGAAATCAGGTGCAATGAAGCAATTCTGGCGGTAGATTGAATGAGTGACCACTCTCAAATAACTTGACTCGTGAGAGATTCCAGGGCCACGGCTGAATAAAGACACTCTGTGGTAAAACTTGACTGATCGTTAATTTTGTCATTAAGTGGTACACGTTAGAAACATCTCTACTTTTGGCGGTGGGTATATTATGCCTTGATCTTATTCTGCAATCATCAAACACGAAACAGACAAGACTTCACCAGTCTCACCTCCAGAAGCACCCTCTTGTAGCCGGAAGCACCGATCCTGAAACCAGCTTCCTTATACAGACACTGGCCAGCCAGCCCCACCGTCCACAAGCCGATGACGTCATTGCAGCCCCGCTCCGCCATATAACATTGTCGGGGATGGTGGATTTCAGGCACTGTGTAAAAATGACAAAACGAACATAGTTCTTCGTGAAACTTAGTGAGTGAGTGAGTGAGTTGGGTTTAACGCCGCGATGCTCATGATATTAATCACTGGATTGTCTGGTCCAGATTACGTCATGTAGCTGGATTAGTGCTGAGTGCGGCGTTAAACAACAAACCATCCAACCACTCTCACCAACTCCACATGGGTTTATTAATTGAAAGACGTTTAACAGTGATCAAGAACAAAATATACCAATGCTTAGTCTTTTTATTTGTATATAGCTATCCATAATATACTCACCGCCAAAAGAAACGCGAACCATAGAAACATATAGAGAAGTATGTTCGTTAAGAAGCCACCTGTTCCAATGTGTACCACTTAATGGGAAAAGTAACAAATCAGTCAAGTTTTACCACAGAGTGTCTTTATTCTTATCACGATAAGCTGCACGTGATTTCCAAACTTTACACGCTAATGATGCACGAAACGTATGGTGCAGCACGATCTACATGAGCGTCGGTTCACACAACATACCAGTATGTTTGTTTGTGCATCGAACCAATCTAATGTCTCTTGAATATTAGTAATTCTTCATATTTAACCGACCCGTGAAGATTCCGGGGTAGAATAGATCTTCAGCAACCCATACTTGCCGTAAAAGGCGACTAACGGGATCGGGTGGTCAGGCTCGCTGACTTGGTTGATACATGTCATCGATCCCAATTGCGTGGATCGATGCTCATGATATTAATCAATGGATTGTCTGGTCCTCGATTATTTACAGACCGCCGTCATATAGCTGGAATATTGCTGAGTGCGGCGTTAAACAACAAACCAACCAACTAAAATCATATTTAACCAACATATATGGTATTCGCGTTACTTTTGTCGGTGAGTATATTATGGGCGCCAGCACAGTTATTATTCTAGCAGCAAAACTTGACATACATGCAGGAGAAGGTCACAACGATCAACTGTGTTGAGACAATTACTCCCAGTCTACCTACCACCATCCCTACAGCCCATCAGTCGGATGTGATGCATTACATGGATGTTGTCAATTGTTGGCTCAGTCGCTATGAGGTGATAATCGCGGTCAGCTGGTAGGTCAAAGGTCTGGCAGAAATAATTCGTCTCGGTACTGGGAACCTTCATTCGAGGGAATCTTAATGTTCTCGTTTGAACTTCTGCAATCGATCAAAGTTGATTAAACAGCGAAACCTCTTTAATCCGGATAGTATATATAAACGACAAAAGCCTTTCCGCATCAAGAGAACTCTCTGCTGAGAGCAGAGTCTATTTACGATTCCGACAATACCACGAACATGTGTTTATGAATCACTAATAAATAGTAATGATCACCCACGTATCTATCAAACAATCTTGAGAAATCTTTACTATGGCCTTGGATGTTGTGACCCTGATCAAACAACTATTGAGCAATAATGGCATGGGCAGTGAAAACCCGTTGATTAAAACATTTCCGTATAAGTGAATCCCAGCTTATGTGCATATGGAAAGCCAGGTTCCCGGTATAAAGACGTCTTACGACCGCCTCCGTGGTCTAGTGGTAGAGCGTCCGCCCGGAGAACGGAAGGTTCGGGGTTCGATTCCCGGCCGCGTCATACCAAAAGACGTTAAAAGATGGTACTTGTTGTTACCCTGTCTGGCGCTCGGCATTAAGGGGCTCAAACAACGACTGGTCGGCTCAGAGTCAGTATACTGTGTCTGAGTGGGGTATTCATGTTAAACTGCGTCATGGTATCTCAGTGGGGTAGCACTATTAATCAGCATCAGTCCGGACTGGTACACGCAACCACACACACACACACACACACGTGTCACCTCACCTAAAGACGTCTTACTGTAAATATGAACGTAAATTCAAGAAAATATTACCATGATCTCCGGAATAACGTTTTAAGCTATGCAAAACGATAGAAGATTATGTAAACTTACATTCATATCGACCTAATCGATACATTCTTTATAAAGATATTATATGAATACGTTGTTCTGGCTTCAGGGGCGTGCGTGCGTGCGTGCGTGCATGTGTGTGTACGCATGCCTTTGTTATCATACAGTTCTTAGATATCCTGTAATCACCTGGCTCTGAAGTGGCACTGCAGTTGAATTCTTCAGTCTCACAAGACACCCAGGCATTGTCTGCACTGCAAGCTGGACCACCCCAAGGGTCACAGATTCCTGGTTATGAAACATGTCTTTACTCATAACGCCACAGTGGATAGTTAGAAGAGTAGTTGCGAGGAATAACCTGTCTCTAGTGATTTATTATTGTCATACCCCCCCAAAAAAACAAACCCAACAACAACCAAAACTAAAACACACACAAAAAAAACCAAACAAACCAAAAAAAAACCAAAACAACAACAACCTAATAGTATACTAGTTAAATTATTTTCATTTCACCTAACAGGCAATTCAATTGTGGCATCACATAAAAAATATGCGTCCTTGAAATTTCAATATTATGTTTATTTCCACAGTCGCCCCTTGAATTAAATCCGTAAAATGAGGTATTACAACCGAAGGCGTATTTAACAATATGACTCATTTACACGTCACCATACATGCTTAATTTCCAAACATAAAATATAATTTCCAAAAACATATTTACTCCTCACTAAAATAATCATGTGGAAGCAGACATGATATTTATTTTGTTGTTCCATCAACAACTTACATTGATAGATAAATTATTCCAAATAGGACTTGATAGTGTATGGAAAATATATGTCGTATATATACGATCCATATAAATCTATTACTTGTTCTTCACGTTGCATTACGACTCTTAAAAGCCTGAAGACAACCTGGATGTGTTATCCCGGAAGTGACGTCTGGTATAACTCCTTCCTTCCAGGCACATGTTGGATCTCCGAGTTCCATGCCGTTTGTCCTGCCGTCACCATCAGAGTCCTTACCACACAATGCTCGCGTCCACTGACAGGGAGGAGGAAGATGTTAAAGGTTCATACCTCAATGAACTCGCACAAAATAAATGTCTGTTTACTAAACTACCTATACAGTTGTATGCAATCGCAAAAAGTAATGTTCTCGTCAATGATAATGCAGGGCAGGCAAGTAAAGGTGGTGCCCCATGCGGTGCTGTTCCCAGCAAAAACTTTTACTCCAGAAGGTATTGTTCCCGGCGAAATTGTTTGGATCAACAAAGGATGAGGTAAGGTAAAGGCCCCTTTTCCCCCAAATGAAATATATTTTAAATTATCATCAGATATATTCAGACTTCTGACACGGTTAAGTACATACGTATGACTGATTTGTTTGTTTGTTGTTTAACGCCGTACTCAGCAATATTCCAGCTATATGACGGCGGTGTGTAAGTAATCATTTCTGGACCAGACAATCCAGTGATCATCAGCATTGACCTACGCAATTGGGATACGATGGCATGCATCAACTAAGTCAGCAAGCCTGACCACCCGATCCCCTTAGTCGCTTCTTACGACAAGCATTGTCGCATTTTGCGGCAAGCATGTGTTGCTGAAGACCTTTTCTAGCACTGATCGTTACGCATGACTAAAATGAGTGAGAAGGGCTCATTTTACGAACTTCAAGAAAAAATCGCAGTATGTTACAATACCGATTTAATAATGAAAAATTGTTACAAAGCATTTAGACCTTGTCCACTCTAGATAAATAAGTATTATTCAAAATGTGTTTAAATATTTCAATTGTAACAACATAATAATTACCAAAACTCATTCATGAAATATGAGAAACACAACAATTTGGCTTAAATACAAACAATGAAAAGAGTTGATGGTTTTTTAATGAGGACTCCAAACAGCGAATGTGTTGAAAAGTTTGTTTGTTGTTTAACGCCGCGTTCAGCAAAATTCCAGCTGTATGGAGGCGGTTAGTACAAAACCGCGTCTGGGACAGACAATCCAGTGATTGACATCATGAGCATCGGTCTACGCAATTGGGATACGATGACATGCATCAATCATTGGTTTGTTGCTTTACGCCGCACTCAGCAATATTCCGGCTATATGACGGCGGTCTGTAAATAATCGAGTCTGGACCAGACAATCCACTGATTAATATCATGAGCATCGATCCACGTAATTGGGATCGATTCCTTTAGTCGCAGCAAATGCTGACTGGGTTCGATAAATACATTTGCCACGATTATGTTCTTTGAATTGTCATCATTATCATTTCTGTTCTCGTAAACGTCTCACTTCGGTATCTGCTCTCACCTTCTTAATTAATGCACTTTAAGAAACGTTAAAACTCAAGTAACCCATTATTTGCCATTGTGTATCTCGGTAACTTCAGTTCTATACATTATTGTTTGGAAAATGATCAAAAACCAATGATGCCAAGTGACAAATACATTTTAAAATTTCAAACATTACTTTCTGGTGAATAAATTAAAAAAACAACTTACTTTCTGACCGGCCGCAAAAAAGTCCAAACCAAACTGATTTCTCTGCCCCCCACCCTTAGGATTCCTGTGCCCCACCCCCGGCCATGTATGGTGGAGTTTACAGGGATGGGGAACCTGGTCCGCATTTGGCAGCCTTTTCATAAACATTTGGTAAGCCATCGTCAAACTTGAGTTCATTATCACCAGCATCAGAAACCTGGACAGACAGTTGCAGACATTGTAAAGAGTTGAAAATTAATGTTAATAACTTTATTAAACTGTGATGAATGATACGAGTCTAATATACTTTATATTCCGAAACCACAAATAAGACCACAATCTGAAAGAACTTATGCCAATGTTCTTTAACTGAAGAACGGTGTATGACAAGGGTCTCTTTTGCGCCCACGAGAATTCCAAACTTTTAAAAATTGGGAGAACTTTCAATTTAAAAAGTATGTATGTGATAAGAAGTGTTCAATATACTCTCATCTGACGTTTTCTTTCTTCCAACAACACTAACGTCTGATTCTCATTCTAATGAACAAACCTCTCAGCTTCCATAACCATTTCACATTTATATGTCATGCAGAATCAGTGGTCAAAAATGGCCGTTCATTTGCCATTTCAAGTTGGAGAAAAGAAGTGTCTTCTTCCTCGTCCATTGAAACATGCTCAAGTAATAACACAATGAAATAACAGGATTTACCTTAAATGAGCCATCATGCACGAATTCCCTTCCGAACACACTTCAGTGTAACCAACACAGTCTGATACCAGCAACACACCTGTCAGTGTGACAGAACTTCTGGTATAGGACACGCGGGTGTTGGTAACATAGATATATCGCCCGGTGATTGTTGATGTTCAGAGAGGGATATGACCTTTCAGAGACAAAGTACTCTACCTCAGCTACGGCTATGACAATAACATACAATTACTGTTCCTGTACTCGTTATGTTTCCAACGAGGCCATAGTTTGTCGGTGGCGGTGAGATGCAATTACCGTATACTATATTACCGGAAGGGCAGGACCCTTTTCGCTAACTCCTGGTGCCATCTCTGATTTTCAGTGATCCATTTATATAATTGTCACCGCTATTTTGCCTTTACGTCCATATTCCAGCTATATGACGGCGGTCTGTAAATAATCGAGTCCGGACCAGACAATCCCGTGATTAATATCATGAGCATCGATCCACGCAATTGGGAGACGATGACATGCATCAACCAAGTCAGCGAGCCTCACCACCCTGTGTTCGTTTCGAAGTATTTCATCAATGTTTAGTCGCTTAAATATTGATAAGTTTCTTACCACACACTTTTCCATTGACTTCAATGGTGCTCTCTGGCTTAATGACAGAATCGCACGAGGCGTTTCCACCCTCAACTGAGACGAGCGCTGGAAATAATTTCCCCAGACGAGGATATCGGTGTATCCGAGCAGTTTGATTTTGATGGTTTGATCATAGCTTCTTGTCACCCAGATGAACCCAGGGGTTGTCAATGTTTTCGCCCATTATTATCCTCCCTCGCACACATCCATCAGCGAAACTTTGCTGCCCTTGTGCTGGAGTGAAGACGAAGTTCGGCAGCGCGATTGTCAAGAATACGACTGCCATCTTTTCTTCTTTTACTTTTTAGCGCGAAAGTTACAAGCTCCTTACACTGAACATTTGCTATGAAAACATAAAGCATATCAATGTAATGAGCTTGCGAGTGTTATCTTTGACCTTTGACACACTTCCTTTCCCCTTTTCGAAAGGAACTTTTGGAAGGATCGTACTAAAGTGTCACACTGTTCATGTTATATTAATATTAAATAAAAGGGTGGAATTGCCATGATGTTATGGATGTCGATGAAATGTTTTAAAATAGACAATGAAAAGAAAATGTAATTATTTTCTTCAGCAAGACCTTTCATAGAACAATGTGTTAAAACAGTCGCTGTTGATGCAGCCCACACACACATCCATCTCCCACTCATCTTACATGCCTGCCGCTAAAGGCGACTATGCTTGTCGTAAAAGGCGACTATGATTGTCGTAAAAGGCGACTATGCTTGTCGTAAAAGGCGACCACGCTTGTCGTAAAAGGCGACTAACGGGATCGGGAGGTCAGGCTCGCTGACTTGGTTGATGCATGTCCTCGATCCCACTTGCGTAGATCGATCTTTATGATGTCAATCACTGGATTGTCTGGTCCAGACTCGATTATTTACAGACGGCCGTCATATAGCTGGAATATTGCTGAGTGCGGCGTAAAATATCAAACCATCTCTCAAATTTGCTTTCTATCTCTCATCCACATTAAAGACTGAACAGGTCTAGAATTGACAACAATATTTTTTTTTAATTTCAAATGAACTGCAATATGAGAACTACAAACAGTGAATTTAATTGTGTTTCAAATACTACGAACAAAAACAAAAACAACCACAACATACAAAACTAACCATTATTTGAAGATATGGATAATACAGATTTTGACAGATGCACATGAAAAGATCAGTTAAAACACATTACTCTCTTCGCATATCTCCAGAGCTATTTCCCTTTTAAAATAAGGTTACTGTCTTTTTAATTCTACATATTATAAATATGATATAGCTATCGCCTATAAGATTTGTACCTTAATTTATGTACAGTCATATCTATGATTTAGTATTACTTAATAATAAAAAGACTAACAAGAGCAAGTGAAAAAAAGTGAAAAATAGAAATAAATGACAACTATATTGTCTTTGTGAATACATCAATATAATTATTATTAGCTTCACAGCTGTTGATTTATTGATCTTCTAAAGCCTTTAGTCTTTTAACACCTGGAACGCCATATTTGATTTGATTTTGAACATATATTTTATGAGAAGTAGGTGAACTTTTTACTCTCTTCTTTCCATAACCAACTTAATGAAAGAAAGGTTTGGACCCTTTAATATCTTTCAACATTTTCTGAAATTGTTGTACCCAATAGGTGGATTTATGGTTTCTCTTGCTGACAAGATAACATAACGAATTTAGTAGATTACATCTGAATTAGTGACAGTTTGGCTATGGTCGTCAATAATCTCGAGTTTGGAATTCGAAGAGATGCGATCGAGTTCACGTTATTGTTTCACAAATTGCCACAAAGCCTCCAGCTTCCCCATGGTAGCGTTTGAATTGACCTCGTGTAAGAGAGTGTCCAACTGACTGGATTCTATCTTCTCCTTGACTGGTGAAGTGCTGACTGTATCACGAGTTTGAAAATCATCCATTTTCTTTTCAGTAGTATTTTTGTTGTCAAACCTACATCACTACATTTTCTGCAATCTCATTAAAATCAGATCTGAGTTCTCGCTATCGCTAAACAAAGATCTGAGGACATTCCATTACGGGTAACCTTTCATCCGACCAATCAAAGCGTCGCTTACCAGATCATGAAAGTGACAGTCGGAATGTGTTTTCTAATCATGCAACCTCGAAAACGTTAACACGGTGTATTCCAAACGACAGTTACGGCCCGCACGACTGATTCCGTTAATAAATTATCGTCTATCTCTCGCTTCCGAGGGATAAACATTTGAACGGAGGAGGCGTTGCACAATACAGGGGAAGCACTGCAATGCAATCTCAACCATATATTAGAGATTCCGGAATGTTCCTTTGTTCTGTTTTCTAAATTTTAATCGAGAACCGTGTCAACATATTTTTCAAGCCTAGTCTGAAATGGAACTCGCCAGGTTTTTGAAACGGACCGTCTATATACACGATATCGTGCAAATAGTGGACCCGAGAAAGCTGCTTTCTAATTGGCTGATGTCGACTTCTTGTTAGTCATTTCGGTGGCCGGTCAAAGTTCGCGAAAGGTCGTTCTGACGTGACCCGTAATAGGATGTCCTCAGATATTTGTTTAGAGGGAGCGAGAACTTAGATCTGATTTTAATGAGATTGCGTCTTCTGTGTCGTGACATGGTAGATGGTTTCTGTTTACTTTAGTCTCACTTGTAGGTTGACTGTAGATTGAAGGACTGGTGTCTCTCTTCTGTATCAGTCTTTGATAACTCTCCCGTGACAGTAGTATCATCTGTTTCGTCATCTGTAGTGAAGTCCTCAGACTCGTTGTTAGGTTCGTCTTCCAAATAACTGACAAATGCCGACACACAGTGTGGCTTGATGTAGTGAGGAGATGACAGTAGCTCTTTCTTCAACCGGGGGCACGGGTGGCCCAGTCGTCTAAGGCGCCGCGATTCGATGTTCAAATTTGCGTCCCCTGGACATGCCAGAAAACTATTATTGTGGGTTCGAATCCCGGTTCACCCCGATTATGATTCTAGGTTTGTCAGCACCATACCCGTGCTCGTGGGTTTCACCGAAGTCGTAAACGTCTGAGACCTGCATCACTTTGGGCTTTCCTCCCACATTAAGCTGACACGCCGTGATATAACTGGAATACTGTTAAAAGCGGCGTTAAACCCAACTCACTCACTCACTCACTCACTCACTCACTCACTCTCTTCAACCTGTTACTTTCCGTTTTACTTGTTACCGTCCTAATGATGTATCTGTAACGATGTAGTCGCTCTTTAACGCCGTCTTCTAGTGGAATATTTCCAATCAGAACATTGTAAAGAAGTGTAATGACAGCCTTGAACTCCTGCTTTGTTATGTGAGATAGAATGACTCTCCGCTGAGCTGGTACTGCTTGGCGTATCAGTTGCAGGAAATCAAGACATTGGTAAATGCACTCTGTCATGTCTATTGTTTTGTCTCTGTCTTTTTATAGATTTTATGCGTGTGCAATGTAGAGATTAAATCATTACCACCGCTGTTTATATCAGATATTTCATTGTGATTTGAAATCTCTTTTGAACAATTGCGAGTTATTGTATACTCTGTATTCTTTCGTCATGGTAGAATATATATTTTCTATGTTGCTTTTTGAATTATCCACAAATAATGAGAACTACAATGTAAACCTCTCTCTGGAGATATACAATACTACTACTGAAGGGCATATCTGAAAAATGGGACTAATCGGCTAATATTTCCTTCATAAATACTGTCCTTTACAGGCATTCTAATCATTATATTATACTTTGTATAGTTTAAAAGTCACATAATGGCAAATTGTGTATCTTTCTACATTTGGAATTCATTATAATTTCTGCAATAACACCTTAACATCAGATAGTGATATAAATGAATATGATCTATACTGTGATAAATGAATTATTAATTTCGTATTATGATTTAAATAAACTGAAATATGATAGTAAAAACAAATTATTTTAATCTGTTTGTGTAAGTAGGTAACGAGAGTACTAGGCAACTCACTAACGTAACCATTTGTAAAAAATCAAATATTCGAAGTTAAGGGGTTTGAACATGTGCATTGAATAACAGACAAGAAAGAAACGCAATAATCAAATTATGAATCAAATTGTTATAAATATAACAAAATATATAATTTAGAATATTGAGCCGTACGGAACTACGAGAGGCTATTTTGTTGGTGTAAAATATATACTACTTAAACAAGAAAAGCACAGACCATATTTTTTCTCTCTTTAGTATCTGTATAATTATTGTGTCCTTGCTTAGCGTTACCTCGAGTCATTTCCGAGTTTAAATCCATTGCCGATGTTTATCAATCGCCAAAACGCAACCACGTCTGTTTTTATTAATAAAGGGCGTGAGGGACAATGAGGGAAGAATTTCATGCATTACTTTATGCACGTGCATCATGTGCACCATTACCAATAAAAGCTACGGGGTCTGCCTGCTTCAGTGACAGTTTAAAGACGTGAATGCTCATGTGAAGTTATGATAAGAC